CAATTGCCGTGCCTCTTCTTGACATGCAGGGGTGAGGGGAGTAAAAGTATCACCCCATTCTTGACGATTCAAGCTGTCTTTCTTGCACTGGTTATATGGCCAAGTCAAAGCACTTGTTGCAAGTGCCAACTGTTCCATGGTAGCTTCTGCTTTGGCTCGGAGTTTAAGTGATGCGCCCCCTACAGGACATCGACCACTGGAACCTAAGACAAACAGGTAGAGACTTAATCCTGTTTCCTTCCATTATTATGGAAATAAAACATTAAGTCCTTCCAGAGTAACTTTTTTATTGTGATAAACATACTGCTACTGCCCCAAACTGTGTTTAAGTTTCCTGTTATAGTGTCTGATAAGGGAATGAGGTCAGGGTGCCATGGGGGCATGTTCCAATCAGCCTCCACACACATCTTGAGGTAAAATGAAATCAAATTAAAATGAAATCAAATTTTCAACATGCATATTTAAAACAGAAGGTCAAAGCAATAAAAAAACATTTCTTACCACAGAAGTTAGGGTTCCATTTTTAATACGTGTTATCTTGAGCTGAAGGTCATGTTTTGCATGCCCAGCGAATCTCCTATGAATACCATTAATTTCAATTTGATGCAATGGACTTTCAAGACCATGTTCTCGGTGACTTAGAGTCAGGTAAATGAAACTCCTTTCACCAGGCAATGTCTCTGTCGGTTTCCCAGGAATTCCCTCTGTTGATGCTCTCACTGCCAAATCCAACTGACAATAAATTTAATACAAGTTCATTAACAAAATTGAAATAAATTCTGAATGTTTTACCAACAACATAATCACTTATGGGGAAGGCAATAAGTAGTCAGTACTATACCTCAGTATTTCTGCTGCCTATAGTTCGTAGAGTAGAAATTATGCCACAGGAACCCCTTGGAGCTTGAATAAGTGCCACATCTGCCAGATGAATCACACCGAGAAGTGGTAAGCCACCAGGTACCATTCTGTGGGGAAAACAATCTTAATACCTGTTGAAAATTTCAACACATCACCATTATATTTAATAATTAAATGCATACTGATAATTGTTTGTGTGAGGATCCAATAACCCCGCTCCTAATTTTATGTAGTCTAATGTGCTGTATGGTCGATCACAATCAAAAAGAGAGATTTCAAGTTTTGCTCCTAAATCTTCAATACTCATGTCAAGCACTTCACGCTGAAAGACAAATTTAAACAGATCATTAATAGGTACAAAGATCAACAGCTTTATGGATATTGTTGAGATTTCTGTTATCTTACTGTTTTCTGGTTCTCTGAGTATGCCCCGACAGTATGGTAAAGCAAACAATCCTTACAATGGTGGTAGAGTGCAGTTTCAGCAGCAAGACCTTTCACAAAGACACCACTTCGTAGATGTCCAACAAGTCCAACAGTATCTGTTAAGACAAAACAAATGCGAAGTTTTGCTCCTTCTCAAATTTTCACTAGAAAGATAAGAGCAATCACAGCTAAATGTTGGTTCACAAACCATTTAAGGGTCCTAGACTAACATGCGCATTTGTTGTGTCCATAGAAATTGTACACACAAAAGGTATTTGGCCATGGAACCCGAGTGATCGATCAACTCCGTGCCAAACATCACTCAAAGGGTTAAATGATTTCAATGCTGTCTCAACAGTTACTGAGAGTCTAGAGAAAAAAAATAATTCATTGAATTTCTTACACAAATACCAAATGACATCAGTTTATGAAAACTTTAACAATTTATTATATTTACCTCACATCAAGTCTGTTGTGTATTGTCAGGTTCCTAGTATTTGGGACCTGATGGAAATCCCCTCGCAATGATGTCAGTACTGATGATGTAAGTTGAATGTTAGCAGGAGTGCCTAATAAGGTAGGTTGTGTCATTTCTAAGAGAACAGGATACCATAAACGTTGAGCATTTACATGGAATTGGTTAAAAAATGTTGCTATTTTGTCCTTTACTGTGGGAAAAAGAAAGGAAATGAATTATTTCACAGTTAATTGTAAAAATGTGATAATCTTATTTATGTTTTTCGCACATGTGCTTAGGCTGTTGAATGAATTGTTGAAATGATGACACAGAATAACTCGCCCTTCCCTTTTGAGCAAAATTTCAACATGTACTGGCTCTGGGTATTTTGTATTAACTTTCATTGAACGTAATAGCTCAATTAGTTGTGGGACTTTCATATTAGACGTTTCTATTTTCATGAGTGCAGCCTGTGCTGCCTCACTGACTCCTTGAAGTTTAAGGTATACCTGTTCAGGAGAGTATCAAAAATTAGATAGATATTGCAGTAATACGATAAATAAATGAAAATTGCAGACACTTATACTAACCGAAACATCGGACAACACACGTTGGGATGCATGTTTTCCAAATGTTAGATAGATGACTGATGGCTGAAATGTACGCTCACTACCTATCATAAAGAGCTGCAAAAATCCTCCAACACCGAGAGATTGGTGCTCATAGTCAATAATGTAATTTTTAGTTGGCCATGTGCTGTCTACAGGCTCGGGAACAACACGAACCAACTGAGATGCTGCCTGAGCACTGCAATGTCATTAAAATATTACATTGAAGCAATCAAAAGAAAACCATCAAACACTTCATTAAAATAAGTAACTTACAGATGGGCATAACAAGGATACTTTGTTTGCGCCAAGGAATGTAAGGTGGTGTAAAAAAAATTGTACAGATGGTTATTGTTTTGTCCATGAATGTACCAATAGAGCGACCAGTATCTGGCAGGGCTGTCCACGGAAATCATCAGCATAGTGAGTGCAGCAACCCTCATTTCCAGGTGTTCTGATGAGTTAGTTAGGATTGGCCAATACAATTGATACACCTGCATATAGTGTGAAAATGTTAAAATATTACCTTATTCATGATTTTAAAATACAATAGGAGATTTGTGACACAACACAACTCACCCTTCTAGGCGAATGGGGAGCAGTACTCATAGTAGCCCAAACAGCAAGAAAACGTATGTGATGAGATGAATGCCGGGAGAGGTCTGTAACATTTCCTTTTATTACAGGTTCCAAAAAGTCTACAACTTGTCCAACTTCCATGTTACTCAGTCCTTCTAGATACAACATTTGCTGCTCATATGTTGTGCTCTCTGTAATATAAATATCCAACTTTCAAAACACAAATATAAAGCATCGTAAAGAGAGCATGCGGAAAAAAAAAATCATTTACCTGTGAATTTGTCAACATAAACACGAATATATCTCTCAACAGTCTCTGGTTTGCATCTGCCATTTGCACATAGTTTATTGACTAAGGATGCAAAAGTTAATATTGCAGTTTTTTGTACATCATTACTGACATCTTCTATGGAAAGCATAGGCTGCAAGTTTTACAAGTTTTGTTTTAAATAAAACATTATACCTTGGTGG